CAACGATTGAAAAATGAAAACTCGTAAGCGGACCAATAGGAGATGTTGTAAAAAAGATAATTCATGTTGTTACAGAAAAAAATTCTGGGCTATATTGATTTAACCCTTTGTAGACCAACATTAAATGGTGATAGAAATTTGATTTTTTTTTTGCACCTTTATAAATTTTTATTTTTTTGATGAATTTAGAAATTAAGAAATTTGAAATTGGAGGTTTTTTAATATTTTTTTAAGGAGTGGGACAAATAAGTCCCATTGGTCATTTAAGAACTATACTTAAAAGTCCCTATGGTCCGTTACGACACTACTATTTTCTTATTCCCTATGATAAATAAGTAATAATTAGTTAAAATTTAATTAATTAATTAATTAAAAATATAATGACCATTTAAATATGTATATAATTCATGCTTCAAATTAACAACAATATAAACTTAAAGAAAATAGTTATAGTATCAAAAACTAAATGGTCAATTTTTTTATATAGCAGACTAATATTAAGAACATTGAGTGGTTACTATGTTTAATATTATAAATGTTCAATTCATAATTTATCATATAATAAGACTTTTATTAAAAACATATAAACATAATAGTAATGTACAAAAAAAAAAAAAATAATAATTATAATATTAAAAATGAACAACACATTATTTTGAATGATATTCATTAAAACATGGTTTCTTTTCATTTAAACATAAAAAAATATTACAAGTAGAACATTTAGTATATGGTTTAGATTCTATATTATTTTTGCTGCACACTTCACATCTACCTCTCGTTTTACTAAATTTTAACCAGTGGGCCCCTAAGTTCCCTAACCTCACATCTGAAGTTGTTGAAAACAACTGTTTGCCCCTTCTTGGTTGTAGACATGGTCTACCTTTTGAAGTCCCTGGAGATATATCCGTTGTTCTTTTTAGGCCACATTTACCTTGTGTTATTAGTCCTTGGGCAACTGCTCTTCGAAACTGAAGAACAGTTAATTTTGATTCACTAAGCTTGTTATTAATAATAAATGAATTGACAAATATAATATCAATAACACCCCAAAACAATCTATGCCACCATTTTTTTGATTTTCTATTGATATTATATAGAGCTCGTAATTGATCTGCTTTGTCTACTCCCCCCATGTATTTATTATAATCATTAACTACAGTAGGACATTTTATAGTTTTTTTTGTTCCATCACGTTCAGTTACACAATACACTACTTTCTTCAACACCATGGAAATTTGATGCCAAGTGTACAATTTTATTATCCTTCCACTTATAAACAGTAATACCTAAACGAGAAGTCTAAAAATCATACATGCCCCTTTCTAAAGTTTTATCATGAGCTAGAAGTGGAATATCCTTTCTATTTGATCGTATGGTACCACATGCAAAGGTGTTTTCTAGCTTTAATTTTTCTAATAAATGTATAGATGTAAAATAATTATCAAAAAATACCTTCATTCCTTTATTCCAATAAGGCTTTGTTAGGTTTAGAACTACTCTCTCACCCAAACCAAAATCCACAAAGTCATCAATTACTTCCTCTTTCCCTTGATAAACAGAGAACTTACTTATATATCCATGTTGATCAGCCAAACACCATATCTTATAACCTCTTTTTATTGGCTTCATTGGATTGTATTGCTTTATTGAGCTACGTCCTTTGAATAAAACCATTGACTCATCCACACTCACTTCTCTAGTCACTTTATATAATTCCATGAATCTAATATTAATAGAATCAAGCAGTGGTCTTAGTTTAAAAAGTTTATCCTTATTATCAGAAGTCTTAGCATTATTGTTATTAATATGCAAAAAACACAAAATATCATCAAACCGCTTTCGACTCATAGCATCAGAAATTATTTTTACACCTAAATCATTACTTGTTGACCAATAATCTTTCCAGGATGGTAATCTATTATATCCCATTACAAAATTAATACCAATAAAAGCTTTCAATTCTTCAATTCTTAAATTCAAAGTTTTCCCTCGTTGAGTGGCATACAAATTAGACTGTGCACAGATATTTTCCAAAATAGGACCACACACTTGAAGAAATACATCAGTTGGACTTGCACAGTTGACAAAAAATCCATGAATTGGTCCTATATAACAATTTCAATTACAATTTTACTTTTATATTAAACATACTAAGTACCTATAATGTACCATAAACAATTAAATTAAATTATGAATAAACAAGTAATATTAAAAATACCTTCAAAATCATTATAGTCTGGAATATTAACATGGTGATCTAATTTTTTTTCCAGCCCATGTCACTATCAGGACGATTTTCCTTTTTATTATTTCTTTTTTTTTTCTTACTACATTGAGTATCTGTTTCTTCAGAACTGTCATCGACATGATCATAAAGCACATCTGGATTATGCATTGGCACAGCATTAGATGGCCCTGCAATATTTTCAGTCTCTTCGGCAAATTCTATTGGAAGATCTATACAAAATATAATATTATTATATTTATAAAATAATGCAAAAACAAAATATTATAATTATATTATATACATTTTTTTTATTGATTACATACCCATTATATTTATTACTGAGGTTTGTATATTCGTGCTTGAATCTAAAAAGTCTAAATAATTGTTTTCTTCGATCAAATCATCGTCACTTATGTCTTCGAGATCAGTTAGACCACCATCATCGCCAGGAATTTCAATTAATATATCTTCGATCTCACGATCGTTTAATTTTGTAAATTTATTCATTTCACCAATTAAATAAATTAAAAAAATTAACGAGTAAATAATAATTAATAAATGAACAAACAACACTCAAGAGCGAAAAAAATAGCATGCGTATAAACAATATACTTGGCGCGCGAGTGCTTGACTGAGAATATTCGTCAAAACTATAAAAATGTCGCAACAGACCATAGGGACTTCAAAGTCCGTTGTGATTATTGTCAATAAACACATATTTATACACAATAATAATGATATTCAATGGTACGTTCTGTTTCTCGGGATTATAATGAAAAGAATAATAATAAAACCCATTGCTTATCTATACTGGTTTGCGCTGTGGCTATTTATATAAATATCGATATTTATTTTATGGGCTAAACTATATTTATTTTATTATGTGATTTATTTTACGCCATCTATAGATTTCACAGAAAATTTACGGGAACATTATTGATTAAAAAAGAAGTGACTTATAAGTCACTATGGTCAGATAGTACTTAATTTATTTTAACTATGTTTAAATGGATAAAATACACAGCGGACTCAAAAGTCCCGTTGGTCGGCAAAGGGTTAAAATCAATCAATGGCATAATGAGTGGCAGACACCCTTCTAAAAA